TGTCTCAAATTTCCTTGAATGAATTAAACTCTTTATGTATGAAGACAGATTTACAGTACAGATATATGTATATGGGTTTTTCCAGATAGCCCTTCGTACTCTGTTTTGATCGGGAATAGACAGTGGATGATGAGGAACGGTTTGGAGGTCACAGCTGATGTGGATGATGCCATGAGCAGCCATGAGACTAAAGGACAGACGGCCATACTTGTGGCCATCGATAGTACATTATGTTTTGTCTAAAAGGCTATATATCAAAAGTGTATCTAACTGTGTATCTAACTTTAAAAAGGTAGTATCATGCATTTGTCCCCTGAGGTCCACATACATTATAATGTTAGTATAATGTCATATTTTAGTTTTGTTATTATTAGTCAAACTTTTGATTATTTCAAGCTTTTTGTTTCAAAAGATCAAGATCACTATTTATCTTCCCAGTTCTCTGTCTCTCTGTCTCTCAGGTGCAGGTGTGCCGTGTGCTATGTTAGCTGTAGCAGACACAGTGAAGGAAGAGTCGGCTCTAGCTGTTCACACCCTGAGCAGTATGGGAATAGAGGTCTTCATGATCACTGGAGACAACAGACGCACAGCCCGGGCCATCGCCACACAGGTGCATATACATACATGCACATTTGCATTTTTCCTAGTACCAAAATGCATCTTGCAAAATGCATCATATAATAACACAAAATAATGGCAAATATCACATGCTAGATTTCAACTTAAGTGAAGTGAAGTGAAAGTGACTTGTGGCCAAGTATGGTGACCCATACTCAGAATTAGTGCTCTGCATTTATCTCCACTTGCAGTCTTTTTTCTTTTTTATCTTATTTTATTTATTTTTTATTTATTTTAATTGAATCTCTCAACATTTTACAACAGTAGCCAGGTTAAAACATAACTAATATGTACAGACAAGCAGGTGAGCCCAGAAAGTGAAAGTGACATGTGGCCAAGTATGGTGAATTATACTCGGAATTAGTGCTCTGCATTTATCCAAAGTGCACACACACAGCAGTGAACACACACACACACACACACACACACACACACACACACACACACACCGTGAGCACACACCCGGAGCAGTGGACAGCCATTTTTTTGTTGCGGCGCCCGGGGAGCAGTTGGGGGTTCGGTGCCTTGCTCAAGGGCACCTCAGTCGTGGTATTGAAGGTGGGAGAGAGCACTGTACATTCACAGTATGCTTATTCCCCCATAAGCAGCACAGTGCAGAATATTAAAGTATGTTCATTAAGGTGCTGTCATTTTAAAGGTTTAGTTCGTGGGTGAAATCCAGTCATTCTAGTAGGTATCTGTGAACTTTCACATGAAGGCAAAAAATTTCCCAAAACAGATTTCTCTCGTGTTCAAGTTGGTCAGACCTGCTTGGTTTGAAACTAACTTCTCTATGAACAAAATTTCACTCATGGAAAAGCCACATTTCTGACATCCAATTTGCATTTTGTGCTTTTGTATTCGCGCTTAACGTCCGTTAGTATTTAAATCTGGGTACACTGTTTCTTCATACAGGTGGGCATCAGCAAGGTGTTTGCGGAAGTCTTGCCCTCCCATAAAGTGGCGAAAGTCCAGGAATTGCAGGAACAAGGCCTGAAAGTTGCGATGGTGGGCGATGGGGTCAATGATTCGCCTGCTCTTGCCCATGCTGATCTGGGCATAGCCATAGGAACGGGCACGGATGTTGCCATTGAAGCAGCAGATATTGTCCTAATACGGGTGAGTCAATTTATTTATCAGGAAACAAAGGTGAGATTCTATAAAATAACAGAAATTAAAATGTTCAGCTCTTCATTATGTGTTTTTGTTGATGTAGAATGATTTGATGGATGTGGTGGCCAGTATCGAGCTGTCTAAAAAGACAGTGCAGAGAATCCGGATAAACTTTGTGTTTGCTCTCATTTATAACTTGCTTGGCATCCCTATCGCAGCAGGTAAACAGAAGCAACCATACTGTTTTTACATTAGCAAGTACTGTGTGCATTCTGTAATAGATGGATGTGGTTTATTGGTTTGAGTCTGATTTTCAGGTGTGTTCATGCCGGTTGGGCTGGTTCTGCAGCCGTGGATGGGCTCTGCTGCGATGGCAGCTTCATCTGTCTCTGTTGTGCTCTCCTCTCTGCTGCTGCGACTGTGAGTGCACACTACCCTACACTGAGATGAAGTCTTCGCATTCTACCTGCATGCATCACTGAACACTTTATAGCCCTGTTCCAAATCCAAGAGAATTGCCCATTTAGGCCTTTTAGACATCATAGAAGTCCTTACACAATGGCGGTTTCAAACAGCGGGAAGGAAATAATACTTCCTTACAAGCTGCACTAAATATAAATGTTCTGTTAGGTCACCTAAAATGTGCTTAATGTAATAACATCTAAATTAACATCTGTTTTTATTCAAAATTATTATTTAATATGACTTCTTTATGAGTTGTGATTTTTTTGGCATGAGTTGTTAGCTTAGCAGCATGCTAACACAAGTCTTTTTTTCACCTTATATTTAATATAAAAGCGAGCACAGCCATTTTAAACTTGAATATGTGTTACACCATTGTAATAGAAGATAGTTCATCTGCAGTGCACAATCCAATAAATATATAGTAATGGACACACAATCAGTCAAGATAGATTACATGAGTTGTTAGCTTAGCAACATGTTAACACTGACTTTTTCCACCTTCTTTTTAATGTAAAAGTGAGTGCAGAGTGTTCAAGACTTCAAGTGTCCACTGCTTAGTTATTTTAGCTTGTTGTGCTGGTTGATGTTGCAAACTGGTATTTATCACATTTTAATTTAGTAGTCACACACTGGGCTGTAACACTGTTACAACAGTTTTACTGTTTACGCGTCATTATTCTTCTAGTTATTTACTTATAGTGGCTAATGAATCATAGGGCCTAAGTCTTGCACGTTCACAGGGAATAGCTTACTTCCCAATTAAAAAAAGTGGATTGGAAACAACTGTGCACGTCACATGATTAAACCTAATTCAAATACTGTAACTTATGATGCTCCATTTTGGTTAGGAATGGAGTATCATAAGTTACAGTTAGGTCTTGGAGGGTGGTTGCCCATGTTGTGCTTAGAAGGTTTTGAAACAGAGTTCTTCATCTTTCTTAGCCTTCCCATGACACTCTAAAAATATATTTCTCTGTCTCTCTCTTAGCTACAAGAAGACATCAGTAGTAGAGTATGAGTCCAGAGCTCAGAGTCATAGGCTCAGTCTGAGTCCGTCTCAGGTCAGCACCTATGTAGGACTCGAAACTCGTCGCTGCAGCCCTCATTCATTCCACCGGGGCTTGGACAGACACAGACGGAGCGGTTCAGGCTTCTCCTCCCTGAAATTAAACTCCTCCCACCCCTCCACCACACAACCATACAGCACCTCAGGAAGGAACATTGTGTAAAGCAACTAGCCATGAGCAGACTTGATGACAGTTGACTGGAAATGTTTTTATCATGAAACGACGACTCTGAGGAATTGTACAATTTTTATATAATTTTACACATAGATTTTTAGCTATTGCTGTTATAATAGAAAACCATGGCATCAAGAATTTTGCTCGAGGGGTAAAGATTTCCTAACGCAGATTCAAGGAAAAGGTTTAAGATGGTCATGTTGATTCACTGTGATTTTCTCAACCACCAATTTGATCATTTTACCAAATGTTGTCTGCTGTATTTTAATCAGGGTTTAGCAACATAAACATTCTTTGTTTATTGCAACGGAGGATGGCAATGTACATGATGATCATGCATGTAAAACCAGTTTAATTTTGTACTAAAAGGGTCATGAAAATTTACTTATTGCTTGTTTTCTTTAAGAGACGCTTACATTTTTTTTCCAATGGCAGAATCTAGAAGAATCAGTGTCCAATAATGAATGCAGTAAGCACCCAAATATTGGTAAAATTGGGCAACAATCTCTTAACAGAATAGTATTACTGGATCAGATTATTTGACATTGCTCTCTTTTGGTTTGGAAAATTAATGGATGGATGGATGGATCTCTTTGTACAGTACAAGGTTGATTTGGCGTTTCTTGGCCAACAGGTGTCAGCAGTTGAACAGTTGCAAAAGATATGGCTTGATTGTAACTAATGCCACTGGTAAAACAATACGATAAGTAGGGTTGGTAGAACTTAATTGATTTGACTTTGATCCGACATTAGATTCATAGTGGATTATTTTGCAGTTATCTTAAATTGCTTCCAGATTACACGTTTAAGGATAAAAGAAGTGTCAGAATAAATGCAGAGGCACCTTTACAGGGACACTTTTATTTTAGAAAAAGTGGATATGTTTATTAAATATACAGTTAGCAATGTAAATGAGCCTGTCCATGAGTTTTCAGATAAAAAAATAAAGTGCATGGTCCCAACATGGCCTTATCATATGTGCAATATGTAATTTGTGTTACATCATTACAATATAGGACAGATTTAATCCCCATCCTGTTTCATTCATCCATCAGCAGTACAATCGAATGGCTAAATATACAGTAATACAGCACACAATCACTCAAGATGGTTGTCAAAAGTAGCTACTACTTGTAAAAGTGAAAGTTAACATTTTTGTCCCAGTGATATTATGGGGTTACAGTATGCTTGGGTGACTGGTTTATGCATGTTTCTCAAATTTAGCCAGTTTTTTGCTTATTTTGAGTATTTTGCTTAGCTCCCCATGTTAAAGAGGTCATCATGAGCAATTCAATGTTCATTATTTTTTTTTAAATAAAATGTTAATTGTACTATGAAAACACTGTAACTTCCAGAAATATTTAATTAAGGGTAAAAGAAAGATTGGAAAATAGTCACAAACTAAATTTTGGTGAAAAACCTCTGGGGAAAAAACAGTAAAGGAGGTAAATATTTACAAAAAGATTATATAAAAAACAATATAATAAAATATACAATTTAAATAATAATACAAAAAAATAATACAACACCTTTACAAAAAAAAAAGTGAGTACTCAGTGTGTGTATACCATTTATTTTTGCATTCATGATTTAATTGTAACCTAAAAAAAAGCAAAATCATTTTCCGACCCAGTTATAAAACGGAGCTCTACTGCTTTGCAAAGGCTTGAAATACACATACATATGCATTGTCATGGGTAATCTAGTTATCATTCATTTTAAGAGCAATATACAGAATAAATGTATGTTTATGGCAGACATTTGGGATAGTAAATACTGCACTGCTATTTCTCATATAATACTGTGTTCATTTGAAAGTTGGAATTATTCATATAAAGCAATTCACAGCGGCCTGGTATATAAATAATGTTAAGTATGTAAGGCCAAAAACACCAGTTTAAAACCATTATAACCATTGCAAATACCTTGTGAATCCAGTTCATATGTCCCTGCGCATATTACTCTACAGACTGACATGGGCTTCATGAGTGTGGTCTGTTTTGCAAGTATACGGACTGTATTGCTGTATCTGTACAAACAGTCCTGTATGTTTTCAATATCACATTATTCCGCAACCATCTTGCATTTGCTAGCATTTGAGATGTTTCTTATTGGACATATCGTTCCATATTCTCAGTATCTCCTCTGGTGAGATCTGATGTACAGTTAACACTTTTCGGTAGCGGCAGAGACTGTAGGACATTTTCCAGTGATTGAATCCACTGTTCTGGAAAGCGTGAACGCCTAGTTTCCGCAGGCACAGTCCCACGTACACATCCTCCAGATGTAGGAGTCGTGTATGGAGGGAGGTCTTATAAATCAGCTCTGCAATGTCTCCAGAGAAGACGTATCCAGTGCCAGAGCAAAAGGGTGGGTACCTGCTATCAGGGTAGAGCTCTCTGGGCATGAACCACTTGCTGTGTACGTCACGTATGGGTCCTCCGTTTATCACGTGACCTGTGAAAAAGCGTCGCCTTGGTTTGATGTTGGGTCTCAGAAGGTTAAACACTAAATTGTCCATGTTGACAAATATATCACTGTCTGTTTTCATGACGTACTGTGCGTTGGGGCAGAACGAAGTCACCCATCGCATGCCCATGAGAGTCTTTAGGGTCAAATTGTGGTAGGAATCCACAAAGTCCTCGACTAGGATGTCATGGAAGATCTGGCTCTCTTGTTCCACCATCTGGTTGAGGACAGGTTCAGTGCTGTACCCAAGAAGGAACAGCGTCAAAATTCGAACGTCGCCGAACGTGTTCTCATCTCCCCACGTCTCCCGGATCGCCTGGCGGGCGTCAAACTCCTTGTGGTTGGTGCTTATGAGGAGGACAAGAAAGGGCGTTGTGCTTTCGCATTTGTTGGGCTCGTTTATGAGGAACTTGAAATTGTGTGGGTTCAAAGTACGTGTTCGGATATTGCTTAACGTGTCGTTCTTTGAGAGCCTCGGAAGCGGTTTGCGGGGAATGAAGGTCATCTGACCCACGTAGGTGGTTGAGTGACGAGAGCCACTGAGATACCACAGTGCACTGGCCCAGCAAACCACAGTCAGCAAATACAAGCATGACACCTTTGATGGCATCTCTTCAGTGGCCGGATCACCTGTCAATCACACGCGTTCAGCCGACGGGGCCAAACACGTGTAGTTATTTGGAAAACATCGCTCAGTTGAGCACAAACCATCCATCTTTTGATGTCAGTGCTGGTTTAGTTTTGTTTAGTAGCATTCTTTCTAGAAACACAAACATTATTCAGTATTTCCCTCATGGACCAAATGCCACCAATCATCTCTTATTTAAATGGATACATTTAAATGGAAATATTCTCTTTCATATGCAGTTACAGAAAAAGGACTAAGAAGGCTTTCTCTTTCTTTACTCGTATTCGCATTCTAGATCAGTGGTTCTCAACCAGGGGCTGAGACCCACTAGGGGCCTCAGAAAACTTCCAAGGGGGCTGAAGGATGACTTAAAATGATTCAGTTGAATATATGATTATTTATTTAACTGATATTAATAATATTATTAATAAATTAAAACTATATTAAAATGCTTAAAATACATAAAAGGAAGAAATCATATTTCTTTTTTCCCCGTCCATTACTATTTCTGCTAGTTTTCCATTTCTTTGACATAATTATAGCAGAAATACTAGTCAAAATATCCTATATCTTAGGCACTGAAAACTGTGTTGGACAATGAGAGGCTTTTGAGTCAAAATAGTTGAGAACCACTGTTCTAGATGTTTCTAGAAGCTTCTACACTCTTCCAAATGTGCTGAGATTTGTATCCACTTTCCAGTGATTGACCTGCTATCGCTGTGGGTCATCACTGCATTGCGTCTGTTCCGAGATCATTAAAAAAAAATATATAGGGTGGAGTGGACAGAGATGCTCCTCAGTTCAGGTGCTGCAGGATGTCTCTTTGTCTTTAGGTCACAGAAAGCCGAGATGTGCTCTTTGCATATGAGGGGTGTTTGTTTTCTTCCCTGTTCCCACTTTTAGGCTGTATGCGAATCTAAAATAGAAAAAGATAGATGTAAATGTTTCTAAATGTTGTATGTAGTATGTACTGTAACACACACATATGCTCTACTGATAGCACATGATCATCATTCTATATTTAGCCCTCTCAGCATGTTGGGTTCTCCAGTTACCGTATTGCATCTGAATTATTAGACAGACAATTAAATAAATAGAATAAGTGCAAAATAAACTATGCAAGAAGTATAAATTTATTAGAAGTAGACTTATAGTACATACATCTGCAGTATGTGTGTGTACATACACATACACTGCAGCACACAAAACATAGCATAAACATATATACAAAAGAATACTTTTATAGAACACTGAAATCCCCTACAAACCGTAAATACACATCAACAGAAGGTGTTGTATTACGGGTGGGATTGTAAACTAAAGGAAGACCTGGTGAAAAGATCTATCTGTCTCTATTATAAAATAGCACTTCAGCAGAATTTTTGCACCTGAAGACAAAAGACGACAAACAAACAACATCAGCAGCAATTGTCTGGGAAGGATTCCAACAGCGGAGCCAGAGGCGATTTGTGGGCCCCTCAGCTCCCTCACGTGGGAGAGAAAAGTGACTCACTCCTTTTTTCTGGCTTGTTGATATTGTTTCTATGAACCTCTATTAACCTTGGTTAGATCCAGGAGTGACTGATGTATATTTTATTTCAAGTAATGAAAATGTTTTTTCCCCCCTAGTTTTTGTTTTAGTCAATGATAATAATCCTGTCTTACGTCATCGCGTTATGAACTTGTACGTACTCATACAGGTAATATCGTTCTGCATTCACACAGAGCACATTACCAGTAATTTGCTGGTAATGTTACAACTTCTGGTGAATTGCCAGAATGAATTTTCCGGTATTTTTGAAAAGGTCCCGTTCACACACGATCTCTTAAGGTAACGTGTGAGAAGGGGCGAATGTCAATAGCTAAAATATTTTTTTAAATACTTGAATAACAATGGGGTACATCTTTAATGCAATGCAAGTCACTTTGGATAAAAAAATTACATATATTTTAACAAACACTATAAAAAGTCAATAGACCCCTTTTAAAACAGCAGGTTTAAGTGATGCAAAAAGCAAAGATAAAGATAAATCATATCAGAACTTTTCCACCTTTTATGTAAAAATGACTAAGTAATGCCAATGTATATTAAAATATATAAAAATAGAAAAGTTATTTTAAATTGTAATAATATTTCAAAATATTACTGTTTTACTGTATTTTTGTTCAACTACATGCAGCCTTGGTGAAGAGACTTCTTGTACTGTTTATATACAGTATTTGTACTGTATAAGAACAGCATTTATTCAAAATAGAAACCCTTTGTTACAATATGTCTTTACTATCACTTTTGATCGATTTATCACTATAACCTTGCTAATAATAAAATACATTAATAAAAATTTATTTTTATTAAATGCTGTTCTTTCTAACTTTTTTCATCAAAGAAACTTGGAAAAAAATGTATACAAACATATATACATACACCTTACATTGTTAACATGTTGATTAATAGGTGTATCAAATGTAGGTAGAAATAGAATAGCAGAGGACCCTAGGGGAGAGAGAGGGAGGAGGAGAGAGACTGGTTAAGATAGAGAATGATGGGTTTTTTAGTCCTAAAAATAAGTTAAAGAAAAACAAGAGTCTCCACTATACAAACATAATCTATTCTTTTATCTATCTTGATTCCCCTTCTTTGCATCAGATCAACACCAGCCTCCCTTTCCTTTCCTTTAAAATGTCAGATACATGCAAATACTGCAAATGCCACACTATGGAAGCTAAATGACAACCTCTGGAGTGATACACATTACAGGCTGATTTAGCTAGCCTGTTTTTCCCCCCTGGAATAAAAGTTTGTGTGTGTGTGTTTAATGGATGACCACACACACGCACGCACACACACACAAACTTTCACTCTTTTCAGTTTTGTCAGTCACAATCACATGTAATCTCCATCTTGATGCTCCAGCCTTTTGTTGGGTAATTATGTTGTTTCCAAGGGATGGCACCATTTTGCTTTTCGGCATACAGCATCTGGCTTCAGCTCATTTCTATCTCCTTCACCCTTAAAGGGATAGTTCAGACAAATAAAAATTCTGTCATTTACTCACCCTAATGCCATTCCAAACCCATACAGTATAACTTTCTGGCTGACTTGCTGCCCAGTTTGTTAATGACTTCACTTAATCAACTGTTTCTTTCAACTACTTCTTCAAATACCTTCTCTATTTTTTCATGACTTTGAATATAGTTAAATTGTCTAATTTTATGATACTTTTATGGTACCTTTTTTGTCATTTTGGAGTTCAACCACCCAAATCCCAATTTTCTTTCATTAAAAGATATTATGGATGGAAAAGATTGGACAGGGTATTCTTAAAAAATCTTTCATTTGTGTTCCATGGCAGAAAGAGCCATGGTGGTTGGAATCGCATGATAAGAGTGAATGTTTCCAGAAATTCTCTAATTTTTGGGAGAACTGTCTCTTTAAGGCTGAAGACTCCTACAAACAGAAGAGATACACATTTTGTGATCATAGTTAAATATATTTTGGGGTCTTCACATAACCAATTGTTAATAACTAATTGGACATTGACATTCAGACACTTAGTGTTATTGGCAAATTGGCATTATGTTTTAGACTCTAACAGACTCTGTAATATAAGTTGATTCACAACAGATTTATTCAGTCATAGACAGAAAGATATGTGTGTGTGTGTGTGTGTGTGTGTGTGCGTGCGTGCATGTGTGTGTAGACCAAGCCTTAGACCATCTGTGAGTCTGAGAAGCCAATTTTCCGCCCCTGGACCTTAGAAACGCATTAAATAATCATAATAACGACAGGAACGGCAAGAACCAAATAAGGGCATAAACATAACACATGGGAAAACCAGGGCATGGAACACGTAGGGAGCAAAACACAAAACACGGAACAGAGTCTGACATTACTCCCCCCTCCCGGAAGGCACCCAAACTTAAAGTCAGAATCAGCACAATCGGTGATTGTTGAAAAAAGGCCGTCTTATACTGTTGCTAAATTGCGGGACATGTTTGATAATAAAACGTTGAAAGCACAATCCACACAAGAGACGCTGTTCCTCAGGCTCAAATGTGTGCACGCGACACGCTCCAAAACGGACAAACAAATTACACTTTGAACTTCAGGCGCATGTCCAAACGATCAAATACACACAAAATATGTCAAAATGGCCGGCTTGGAGAGTATTTACTCAAACACAGTTTATGTCTTAAGTGGAGGAGAACAGTTGGGAGAAAATCTGATGTGTCTACACGGAACAGAGTCTGACAGTCTGCCAGAGTCTAAACCATATTTCTCGGTTCAATGGCTGCATATTTGTTATGTGTATAATTGTGTTTGCTAATGTAAGGCTTTCTGTGATTTACTTATCAATAAACAGATGGCTGGCACGGCTTCTCTCACTAATGATAAATCTTGAGGCAGTGTATGTATGCATGATCCTTCCTAGCACTGGATTCAACAGTAATGACTGTTTTTCTTTTTTTAATCACTCTTTGTTCACTCAAAATACCAAACAGCAAATATAAAATATGCAGCTGTTTCAAATCAACAAGATGTTCTTTCCAGGATTATTCAATTAAGTAGATTAGTTTGAATTGATTTGGCTAAGTGCCACAGGATGTTTAATTGTAATGGAGGTGTACAGTCATGGCATCAATTTGTAGGCCAAACCTGGAAGGCTAATTTGCCATGGATTCCCACAGGAATTTCCAGTGGGATTTTAGAATGGCTGTTGTCCATTTACAGTATGTATAAAATCAGGCTTGAGTATTCCACAGTCATACCTAAAATGTGAAATTGAATGCAGCTAACAAGCTGTTATATTAGGACTGCTACATATAGGGCTGGGAAAAAAAATCGAATGCGCTTTTCATGCGAATCTCGTCAGTAAAGCCGCTTCTGGTGATTAGTAGTAAATATCCAGCACGTGCTTTCAGATGGAGCGGCATTTACTACACAGAGCTGTAGATCACTGACAAGCTACATAAAATCGTGTTCAAAATTGCAGGCGATTCATTGCCGATTTTGAACTCGATTTTGTGTAGCTTGTCAGTACAGAACTACAAACAAAATTGATTATTAACATTATCTAATGTTTGTGGAAATAATTATGTCTGTACAACATATTTTGGGGTAATTCATAATGAAAAATGTATTGTAGTAACTACACTTACAGCAGATAAATGAATTCTTTTTAATTGTATTCTATTTTTAATTCTACTTCCTTAAAAACTGAATTACAACTTTGCATCTTTTTTTCACATCATTTCAAATTCAACTTAATTTCAGGAGATTATTTGGAATTTAAAAAGTATCCTTAATTCAGTTTCCAAATGGTGCACAATTCTGGTACTTACACTACAAATAAAGCTATACCACACTAACAGTCAGAGATGAATAAACTCCATCAATAGCTGCTGACACATTTACATGTTTATAGTTATCATGTTTAAAAAAGGACTTCTTATAATACAGGAGTCAAATACAAAGTGTATATTGGGGGTTTTGTGCCCTGTATGTTTAGCATATTGTATGGAAAAAAAACCATTAGCCCCAAAGTCAATTAGTTTGAATCCCACATTTACATTTCCACAAAGCTCAAGTTTAAAATGTTAAATCATTGATAAGTGATGAAACAGAAACAAAGACAAATGTTTTATGGTCAGAAACGGTTTCATTCTGTCTCAATAATAATTCATGTGTTTTACATTTATGGTAGCCTGTTGGGTTCTGTCTAATAACCACTTTGATATAAACCAGAACTGTTTCAACTGCACTTCAGAAATAAGATACTCTCCACTATTTAAATATTTATGTGGATAAGAAATGCTTAAACAAGAAAATATGATTGGTATGCAAGTGGGTTTGTTCTCCCTCAGCTCTGAGAGAAGCTGCTATACTTACACAGAAATCACACACACACACACACACACACACACTAATACAATTACATTATATTACCAGTGCTGCGGTAAACTCATTCCTTAGAATGAAAAAGTCAGGGCAAAGTAATATGAATGGGAATGTATACCTCTCACTTAACAATAACTATGAAATATCACTATACGAGAACAAAAACACACTGATAAACTATGCATATAAGTCAATAATGTGATGCGGTCAACATGGAGAAAGTGTAATTTTAAAGTAACACTCTCAATAATGCATGCATCACATCGTTCTATAAATGTGCAATCATACAAGACCTTAGGAGCTCAAAAAGACATTCAGTTTATGCTATATCTGGGTGAGGCCCATGTGCTATTAAGGGTCATAATGGAAAAGTCAACGTTAAGGCATGATATTGCATACCTTATGAAATGTCATATCATGTGATGGATCACACGGACACGAAAGCTTAAAATAGCTACAGTACAACTTTAAAGTATCCTCAAAAGTTTCCTGATTATGCAGGAGGGTGGAATTGCTAGCTCAGCAGAATTAATTCCCTAAAGAACATAATCAAAAGCATATCAACCATCCAAATCATGGCAAAAATACATGGTATTAAGAGGGTGCCAAAAGCCTCATGAAAAAATAATCTCTCTCCACTAGACAAAAAGTAACAGACTGACAGAGGTCAGATCCATAGGAGAGCATTCTTTCAAACTGCATGACTCATAGCAGTACTGATATCAAAAAGCTCCAAATCAAGTACTTTGTGTCAAAATAGTTTTTACTATTACAATGACAATGTGTTGCCAGTGGGACCTAATTTTGTTGTAAAAACAGCTAAAACATTCTTTCTGGTTTGGAATGACATGAAGGTGACTAAATTATGACAGAATTTTCAGTTTTGAGTGAACTATCCCTTTAAAGTAGGGCTGCACGATAAATCGCATGCGATATTTAATGCGCATCTTGTCAGAAAGCCGGTTCTGTAATCAGCGGTAAATCTCCATCACCTGCGGGCTTTCACATTGAGCAGCATTAACTACACAGAGCCGTTGTTCACTGAGAAGCTGCGCAAAAAAATCGCGCGAATATGAACGTGGTTTTGCGCAGCTTGTTAGTGAACAACGGCTCTGTGTAGTTAATGCTGCTCAATGTGAAAGCCCGCAGGTGATGGAGATTTACCGCTGATTACAGAACCGGCTTCACTGATAAGATGCGCGTTAAATATCGCATGCGATTTATCGTGCAGCCCTACTTTAAAGGGTCATCGAAAACCAAAACTTTTTTTACAAGGTTAAATCATATGTTCATGTTGATGGAATATGAAGGAAGACAATGAGTTTAAGGTTTAAAAACAATGTTAAGTGAACATGAAGAGAATGTGATACACTGGATTTAAACAAGTCGAACACGGCCTATAGTTGTCATTCACGAGAAGGTGTGGCAATTACCATTTAACAAGTCAAACAAAGATCCAGTCTAACCAAAAATGTAGCAATATTAGCTGATTAATAATTACTAGAAAAACTGAAATAGGTACCAGCAATAGCCAGTTTTTACCAGTGACAATTGAATAGACACTTTCCGCTATAGGGACAGTGACTAGCAAAGGAATATGTAGGCTAGTATTTAATGAATTATTGCTACTAGTAACTAATGAATAGCTACTAGTAGAAAAAAACTAGTCTGTTGAATTGCATGCCAATTATTTACATAACAATTAGGCTACGTTTTTAAAGAACAAATGTTAAAATTGCCCTAGTTGAACTTCATATAGGCTAGCAGTGTTTATGTTTTACAATAGGCTATTTACGAATGAAAGCAGATGTATGCTGGTCTCCTGGTAATAGATCCCAAATATCCGCAAAGAATGCTTTATGCATCGCTCCTTTTACCCCAAAAGCCGAACATAACAATCACATGACTCTTTGTAATGCTGCTCCTGTCACCTTAAAGAACAGGACGCTCTACAAACGCAGATGGTCGACATACACGGTAATCTACAACGAGGCAATGCACTGCGAACATACCTTTTCCCGGTCAGATTATCTGCATTGGTGAAATCCTGCCAGTTTTCTTCAGAGCACAGTACGAATGGACGACGTAGTGAACGAGCGGTCGAGTGGTTGCGAGGTGGTGCGCTGCAGTGGGTGATGGAGCGCTGTCCAATCAGCAGCCCGCCCGCAGAAGGCGAATCAGTGCTAGCCTACCCCTTGACCAACCTGCTCTCTCCACTTTCATACTGTTTCATACTTTGTAGAGAGAGGTTTTCATACTCAACCTCTCTCTACAAAGCACAGGTCGATTGCTTTTGATAAGGCAAGGTTGATAACTGAATTAATTTAACTGTAAACTGTAAAATAGGCTACCACATAAAAAATATCGATAATTGATGTAGGCTACTTTAAATAAAAATATATAAGTTTCATAACTGTTCTAACTATTAGATTGTAACTTATATAAATGCATTAATTTGTAAAAATATAAAACTATACTTATCTATATTAAGAGTGATATTGTTCGTAATTGGTCATTCACTAAGGCCCCTTTAAAAACCATTCTGACTAATTCTAAGTTAGCAGCCAATTTTTCTAATGTTCCCAGAGAGGATACAAGCTGTATTTTTTTCTACTAAAGAAGTACATGCTGATGATTAAACTAGATGTCTCCACACATTCCCAAATGACCACAGTAGACAGGTATAAATAGCTAATTTACGTATTGATTCAGGTCAACGTAGTCGTGTCGATAGTATAGCCTAACTACAGAGTTCACAATACCACAGTGGCTATGTTGCTGTATGTTCAATTAATTGTGATCGATTGATTGATTGGTTTGTTTGCCTATTTGCCTTAATTCTGATCTGCATTCTCTGCTATTTTACAACGTTAGTGTGAGGGAGTAATTGCATTACTCATCACAAATGTATTGGAGTATACTGTACTTATTCAAAAATGTAGTCAAGTAGACAGTAAAAGTTGCTAACATCTTTGATACTCAGTAAAACTACAAAGTAGCCAAAAATATATTTAAGTACAATAACTAAATACATTTACTCAAACACTTTAAACCACTGAAACCTTGCAACAGTAACTAATTAGGGAGTAATTGCATTACCCATCACAAATGTATTGGAGTATACTGTACTTATTCAAAAATGTAGTCAAGTAGACAGTAAAAGTTGCTAACATCTTTGATACTCGTTGAAACCTTGCAACAGTAACTAATGAGGGTTAATTATAAAGTGTTATCTTAAAAATTAGCTTCAGCATTTAATTTTTTTGACTACTGTATTATGGGTTGGCTTTCAACTCATTTACAAATGAATTTTTGATCATGTTTTTTTGGCTATACATGGATCATATATTTCATATGAAAAATACAGAACATGATGCTGATGAAACACAAAAGATAATAATATAATCATTCCAGAAACATGTTTTTATTCATTGTCAATGCAGTAGCAGTATAATAGAAACAATTAATTCTATCCACCTTAAGACAGACAATCTGTCGCGAATTCTGTCAAACAAAAGCAGAAATCATAACCCCCTATGTATGTTCAATAAAGAAATTGAAAGAATATCTGCAAACTTGCAGGCATTGTAAAACAGACACAGGAAAAGATACATGAATTCTGAATTAAATGTTTACAGCAAAAACAAAAACAAAAGAAACACTATTATCATATTTCCCCAATTTATCTTGCACACCAGGTGCTTTAAATAAAGCTTTTTAAAAGATTCAGATTGTAGTTAAATGTGCTGTCTGCTGCAAGCTGAGTATAAAATACAGTATGAGCATGCTAACATTCATCTCTCCATGAGCAGAGCTTTGATACTGTTCTAAAGGATGTTAACAGAAGCTTTGATTGTGTATAAATGAGTGTATGGCAGATTAAACAGTGTTAATTATTATTTTTTCATCAGTCATCATCATAATATCGGTTCTGTTTAATTTGATCCTCTACGGACAAGAAGTCATATTCATCCTGCCAGAGGCTGCTGGCTTCACTCAGCAGCCCAGCATCTTTGGTGTCATTTTTATCGAGTGGATTCTTCCTCATTTCCGCCTCAGTGTGTTGGCCCATCTCCCCTATTGATTCTATTCCAAAATCCAGAAGCTCATCCAACTGAGATGAAGCTGATTCCTTGCTATAAATGACATCCTTAAATTCAGGAAACAAATTAGAACTGTCATCAAAACCTGCAAATATGTCATCTAGGAAACGTGAGGCACTAAACTTTGGGTTGTCATCTGTCTCAGTGCAAACCAATGTTTTGGTAGTGGGCTGTTCTTGTTCTGCCTCTTTCATGTCATGTGAGTTTTTGGCACGTGGTGAGACAGAGCTGTCTACTTGAAGTTGTTGGAAAATGTCAGAAACCCTCATCTCACTGTTGATTTCTTCTTTAAATGGATCCTGAGCAAGAAGTGACCCTGAGGAGAAGTCCAGCAGCTCTGGTTCTTCTTTAATTTCATTAATTCCTATCAAACTGGCCTTGTTGTCCAATATTAGGTTACTGTTGTTGTTATTATTATTGTTGTTTGCTTTGCCATTGGCTGTTTGGCCATTTGGTATTTCACAATCTATCACTGTCACTGTTACCTCTTCTCCCTCATTTACTTCACTTTGCACTTTCTTTTCACTTTCCTTAGTACCATTTTCATCCGTGTTATTTGCATTGTCATTCTCCTCATCATTCTTAGATCCTTCTACAACTCCATTCTCCAACTCCTCTTTTTGACCATTCATCTCACTTCCTTCTTTTGTCTCAGTTGCTTGAGTTGTCTCATTATTTCTCTGTTCTGTGGTCTGCTGGCTTTCGTTGGAGGGCTCAATGGCTTTGCCTGTTTCACTGGCATCCTCTCCCTCCTCAGCTGTTTCAGGTTTTGGTGTTGGCTGCTCTGTCTCTTGAGTTATTTTAGCATCTGTAGATGGTTTTTCTGGCATATTTATGGGTGACATAAGCCCTCCACCATTTTCTATAGGGACATTTTCTGCTGAGTTTCCACTAGTAATTGCAGTTTGCCTCTTATTTACTGCTGGTTCATTATTTTCTTTACCCGAGAGTTCTGATTCAACTTGAGGGGGCCAGACAGGTTTGACTACCTTTACTTCATCATCCAAATTAAACAACTTTTTTGGGGAATCGCTGAGGGGTGGCCATACAACTGCCATTTTATTTGCTGGCTTAATGTCATCATTCATCTTTTCTTGAGTCATCCTCTCTGTGGTGTTGGGGTAATTTTCTTGTGGGCTGTGAGTTACATTAAAATTGACAGGAGGGTTGTTTTTCGTGTAAGTTGTCTCTGACGAGTTGTTCTGATTCTTTGTACTCCAAAGTTCTTTGTGGGGCCTTTCTCCAAACCCTTCATCATAGTTGCCTTTAGACTTGAAAAGTTGTTTGTAGTGTGGCTTGCAGTACATTCGTCCATGGAGAGAAGCATAATTTCCAAGACTGAAGCAGAGAGATACACACAAATATGAGAAATCAGTCATACACAAATATCAGATTTGAATCTGTTAAAAACTAGATGGCTCTATAGTGTATTCTGTCATTACAGCAAGAACAGCTCACATACTCATAACTCCCCAATCAAATAAACTTCTGAACCTGCATGGAATCATGATGCATATCAACTTTTCAACTTTTTTCCTTCTTGTTCCTCGCTGTAACACATTAAAATGTTGAAAACATCTTGGATTAGTGTCAAAAGAAGCATCTACCTTAGCTGGCTGCTGCAGTGGGCACATCTAAAACAGCTTTTATGGAAGTTTTGCTTGTTTGCTATGAGCGACTCCATGGGATACACCCTCTTCCGACATACCCGACACAGTTCGGACTCTGGCACCCGTATTTTCTGTCAGAGAAAGAGACTAGCATCAGAAAATGCTTTTAAATCAGTCAGCACACATTCATACACAGACTCACATGGACAGACACCAGACCGTTTCATTATACTTTAATGAGCAGAGGTTGGTGAGTTAAAAAATATTGAAAAGAAACAAGAAGCTGTTAGTATAATGTAGTTGTTAGAATGAAAACATTTAAGCACCACATGCATTTAGGGAGGTGCAATACAAGTGCAAACATCACATCTGGACCTCAGCACAGTCTCATTACATATAAAGGGCATTGCGTCAAATATTCAGTCAATAATCACAAAATAATAATAATATTCACTTTGACTATGATATCTAGTTTAGCAGCACTCCATTATGAACACAAACTAAAAGATCAAAATAAAAATACAGACAAAAGGAATGCCTAAAGCATCACTATTTGTCAAATGCAAACACACCATCACTGTTTTAGTCATCACTCTGCACTCTTGTTAACCTTTCCATGCTCGTCAGATAGGTTTACCGGTGACAACAGTCTGGTGCTGGTGGGAAACAGTCTGTGATCTGTGTTGCTCAGACACAGTGAAGCCCAGGTTTTTGAAGACATTTTCACTCTCTGCCCATGTCTGCTGGAAGTTCTTTAGTAACTCCTCTGCAGAGGCCTCTGGTGGAACATCCAGGACAGGAACATTCCCTCTTACTACAGCTGCGTAAGTTGGTGGATCGCCACGGGTTGTCACACTCCGAGACTGGGAGGTTGTTTCAGTCTTTGAGCCTATTACAGTGTTTCCAAACTCATCTACAGTGGAGAGGTGCTCATTTACAGATTTAGTTTGAGAAAATCCTTCAGGTGCTTCCTCTTGTTTTTCAGGATTCTTTCTCTCTTTCCTTAGGTACTGGTGGGCTTGCTCACCCATTTCAAAGACATTCTTGAGGGCTTTAATATCAAAGCTTGGTATGTCCTCCACCAAAGATGACTTCTTCTCGGGTTCAACATCTTCTGTGTCACTTCCAAGTCTCTCAGTAATCACAATGGGCTCCTTTCGAGCATAAACTTTAGGCTGGGGTGACTCAAATTTGTTAACAAGCCTGGACAGGTCAACCCTGGGTAAGTCCTCTAACATTCTCTCATGGGCATCGATCGTTTCTGGGATCTCTGGCTCATTATCTTCTGTATCTGGTTCAAGATGGTCTGGGATGTCAATAGGATCTTTGCGTACATATGTACGACAGACCTCTGCTTTCTGAGCCTCTTCAAAGAACTCACGCTTGTCTTTTACAGTCATCATGGAGTCTCCATGGATATCTGTGACATCTGTCAGGGATGATTCCATCATGTGAGTCTCAACC